AATATCTGAACCCCTCCATCCCCACACGTCTTTAGAGGTCCACCCATTTACTCACTGAAACACCACATTTTCCAAGCACCCTAAATATTCTCTATTTTTATTATTTAAAAGGCGCTGTCCTTCCACGACTCTATTTTCCTTCACTTTTCCTATTCTGTCTTTTTTTGTTCCACCCTTAATAGATATCTTATGCGAATGTCACACTCATACATATATATATAGTGGGAAATATGAAGCCCCGATAATCTTCTTTCTGGATTCTCTGTATTAATTTCTAAATACATGGTATTTGTTCTTACACACACAAGAAGATGATGACAAGACCAACGTTGTTATTTTAAGTAAAATTGGAAGGGAACTAAAAAATCATAAAACATAAAATCGTAATGTAAAAAAATCATAAAAAATCGTAAAAACATAAAATCATTTGAAATATTAATAGAATCGTTTTGATAAAAGAAATTCGTAAAAACGTAAAAAAACTATTAACAAGACCATACACAACTGATTGGAGGAAGAATTTCATTCTGATCAAATTAATTACTATATACTTTCTGAACGCAGTCAATCGATGGGAATATTGGAATATGTTTGGACAATCCAAGAAATCTTCATGACGTGATATTTTACTAATTAATTGAGTGTTGTTAAAATCTACGTACGTGATGTAATATTATTCATTCCTTGAAAGAGAAACATTTCGAACTTGATATTATTAACTGAAAAGGCTTTTTTAAAAGAGGAATTTATTGATAAAGTACATAATTAAGTATATTTTTTAATATTTTTTGTTGGTAAAAATATTTTTTAATATTTAATAAATTAAGATTACAATTTATTTATGAATTAAATTAATATATATATATATATATATATATATATATATATACTTTAAAGATAAATTCAATTAAAATAGCTAACCTCCTTTCCAATCACCACCTGTTCATATTATTTTGTGTTTTCCGCTTTTTATACGTGGAGAAAATACGATTGTGTTCTGATTTTTTTTTCTTAAAAATTATTTTGTAGAGTATTTAATGAAATAGGTATATTTTTTTGTTTTTTTTTTTAAATTTAAAAGTTCAAACATAAAACAAAAACAATTTACATATGTTTTCTAAATTTGATTTTAAAAAAAATGTTATAATTTTAAATTTTATTGTATAAAACAAGTCTTATTAAATAGGTTTTTTTCTTTTTTTTTTAAATTCAATTTAAAAAAAAAAAACAGATTTCAAACATGTCTTAAATTTTTAATATTTGGAATGTATAGAACACTGGATATATATTTTTTTATTAAATATGACAAAAAAGCAACCTATTTATATCATTAATATTTTTATTTATATTTTCACTCATATTTTATATTTTTTCCTTTTGATAAGGAAGAAAGTACACTAGTGATACTAAAATTTTATTGATTAAGAATTGACAATGAACAGTGACTTCTAGATGCTTTAATTATAAACTTTTAGGCAAATAGTATTTACCAAGAAATTCAACTTCCTAGGTATGTTGTGGTGCTTCATTAATAGCATCTTGGACAAAATGACCAATGATTTGTTTGCTTTTGTACAACAGGAAAACTTTCAAAGCGAAACAGATGGTCATAATAATGATAAAAAAATGGTGACCGGCCTTTTGGGAAAAAGAAGCTTTTTTTTTCTTGTCTGAATTTCAATTCAAGATTAAAGAAGTCCAAATCAATTGAATTCTCGTTTGAGAAATTTACCGAATTTATTTTTCATTTACATAAAAAAATATTACTGTAAAATTAACTTCCAAATTGTCCCTTTTCTGGAATAGATCTTGGAAGAAGAAGTTCTATTAAATTAATATTGTATGCTATTTTATATAAAATTAAGTATCAAATCAAAACAAACCGATATGATATTCTTACTACCAAATATTTCTACTACCAATTTATCATGAATCTAATATAATTATGTATTACAGCTAGTATATCAAAAGTTATTTTTTTTCTCTATCTTCAAAAAATTTTAAAAAATTGTCTGCTAAAAAGTGGGATCCAACGACTGAAAAGTTATAGTAAATTGGTAATAGCAACATTTGGTAGTAAGAATATTCAATCTCCAAACCAAAATATTTTTTGTTGGTAGTTGTAATGCAAAGGAGGAATGTTATACTTATAACTTATTTTCGTTTATAAACTCTTACAATTATATTTTAACTGTTGATTTCCGTCAATCAACGATTATTATTTTCATAAATTAAATTTATTTAATTAATTATTAATTCACAATAAATGATAACCGATAGGATTGATCGGCGAAATTTAACGGTTAAAATATAGTTATAAGAGGTTGTAAAAGAAAATAAATTCTAAATATAACCTTCCTCAATCCAAAATATAAAAATAATGGATCCGGATCCTCTCATGTGAAAATTCACATGACCATGTCATGTGGGGAATCATAAACATACAAAGGTGAATCAATGATAAAAAAGGAGGAGAGAGAAAAAATGATAAAATAAGTAGTTACGAAATCATAACCGTTGATTTACCTTTGTATGGTTGTGATCTTCCCATATGACCATATCATGTTTTTTTGGCACATGAGAGGATCCAATAGATTAAATGAGAATATATCAACTTTTGTCTTTTATAAAAGTTGTTCGAAGATCAAATAGACTCTGCAGATGTATATGCATGTAGGAAAATTCAGATGTATATTAGATGATATCCATTTATGCATGCACGACTCCTGGTCTTGATAGATAGTAGATGATATCAAATCCTTTAACTCCTATGTTGACTCAAGTGGTAATACAAACTTTTGTTAAAATCTTGATTTATTACTACAATTTTATATTTTTATGATTTTATTTCATCAAAATAATTTTACTAATATTCTAAATATTTTTACATTTTTATGATTTTATGATTTTATAATTTTATGTTTTATGATTTTTTAATTTCCTTTGGATTTTATATTGCTCATAATGAACAAGTTTTCAAAAAAGCAGGGATTCAGATTCTGGAGAAGATCTTTGGACCACAGTTGGATAAATATCATGCCACTCAATAATTATTGGGCATCTTTCTTCATTGTGGAGATATCCCGTAAACCTAACTCACTCTAAAGTAGTAATTACGATTATAAAATTTAAGAAAAAAAAATTTAATCCTTTATTTGATATTTTCAAGCATAAATTTTACATCATTTTAAAAATTATTTTTCTTATAAATTTGATAGTTTCAATTCAGACAATAAAAATAAAACTCATTCAAACTATGATAAAGTAATGTCAAAAAAAATTTATGCAATTATATTTATTTATATATTATAACAAATTCAAATATATATAACGAATTGATTCAATTATTATTCTTTTTAATTCTCAAATTTTTATCCCTATAAATCTTTTTTTTTTTATTTAACCTCCAATTGAAGAAAGCAAATCACAGTTGAATTGCTTCTCACGTTCTTTTCCAGCAAAAACAAGCTCCACATTGCAATCAGTCTACGCAACTTCATCAACGATTAATTAATTGATCTATAACAATGAAGATTGTCTCACATGACATCATACTCGTATGACATAAGTCTAACGCCCTTCCTAGAAACTTAATTTACGACAATTTACAAACTTATTTCAATATTGGTAACTTCTGTTTAGATAAAATTAACTACGAATTTGTCTCTACGCACACTAATGCCAAAGCGTGTGCGAAATTGACTAAATTGAACAAACTATAATTCAGAGTATAGTCATAGTCATAGCTCTCAATATAATTTTTATTTAATGAAAAACAACCAAATAAATTAGGATTCACAATGTCCTTAAATATGCAACGAAACACCAAATAACAAGAATTATGAAAATATCCCTACGAAAATAAAAAGATGAGTAAATATTCTTTTTGGTCCTCAGCAAATTTTACAATACCCGCTTTAGTCCCTAGCAAATAAAAAAGACTATTCGTGGTCCCTAAGAAATTCAAAATGGATCTATTTAGTTGAAATCGTGGTCCCTCATAAATCCCAAAAAGACTCACATTAATCCTCAAAAAAACTAAAATGGGTTCATTTTGAATTTTTTATGGACCACGAATAACCTTTTTATTTGCTAGGGACTAAAGCGGACATAGTAAAATTTGCTGAGGACCGAAAATGGTATTTACTCTAAAAAGATAAAAGATAAATAAAAAATAATTAAAATTTTCATGTAAACGACCTCGAAAGCCTAAAGACCTAGGTGCTCATCACAAAGCTTGAGCCTTATTCAGAAGACCGATTCTAAACTCATTCCGAAATAGTCACCCCGAATGCATCACACACACTTCACAACACTCAAGGGAACAAGTAGCATGGATCAAAGTTGAAATTAGTTAAAATTTCGAGAATTCCCTTTTACAGGCTAATATTTGTTGATTTTGTTCACTTATTCGTATATATCAAGAATATCAAATATGTGTGGAGGAGTGAAAATGACAATTATACCTCTGAATATGTACCAATTAAATTAAAGCACGTTCTTAACATGACCAATATATAGTTAAGCGACCTCACTCCAACTTTCACTAATTAGGGTTTAATAGGGAGTGGCAAGAAGGTGTAACTTTATGTTGCTCTTAATCCCTTGAAGATGATGTATTCAAAATAAATGAATTTTGGGAATCAACCAAAGGGGAGGAAAAATATAAATATGCCTATAGTTTTGGTTCGTTTCATCATTAATATGGATTTATATTGATGTGACCCATATAGTCATTGCACTTAGCAGCTCTAATCCTCTTTGCATGTTGCTTTAAATTTGTTGGATGAAAGGGAAACATATTCATTAGAATATGAAGGAAATATAATAGGAAATAATATCAAACACGTTTTATTAAGTAAAGATACTACAATGATGGATTGCAAGCCCTTGCCACTATCAAGAAAAAGATGAAGCAACATTTACTAATTAACTTTTCGTACTACTGATATTGCACTCCTTACTAGAAGAAAAAAGATTACACTTAAAAACATACCGAATCATAAAAGACCAGGGAAATGCTTCAAGATATCATCAAGGTCAAAAGAATCATACATGAGATCTGTATGATGAGATTGGAGGGTAGATGATAAGGTGTCATCCCTGAAAAAACTATTATCTAACGTGGGCTCAGGGGAGAGTAGGTAATCATCTGAGGAAGATATTGAAGGAAGTTCCTCCTTACACTCCTCAAGTGGTGGAGAGGGAAAAGATGGTGATAAAAAGGGGCACTCTTGTTTTGTTGGAATTGGGAAGGTGTTGTTAAAGCTAAGCAATATGGAAGAGCCATTAGGAGCAGAATTGGAATCAAGTATGATCTCAGGGTTTAGTAACAAGTTTGTGCAAGTGTGGTGACCATAATAGGTGATCTTATGCAATGGAGGCTCCTCTTGAACTTGCTGCACCTGTTTTGTTGCTTGGCAACCCTGATCAATCTTGTGAGTGCACCTGTAGTAGTTCCTGCATATCATGGATTTTTGTTATTAATTTTATATTTCCAGAATTAGTTATATTATATATAGAATAGGGTTGGTGAGAAATCTTATTTAATACAAAAGATCCTTGTTAATATGAGATAAAGGGAAAAGGATGTAATTAATAATTGATCTAGTACCTTGAGTATTTGGAATTGAGGATCAATTTTTGGCCATACTTTCTCCAGTGATGGCCATCAGCTGTTGGAGTTTTGGACCACTTCTCATATGTTTGTGTAGTTCTTCTGCATATATATATACAAGATGAAATTGAATATATATATCATATCATATCATATATATAAGAATTAACTAGAATATGTAGTATATACAAACAAACCTTCTCTTGTAACACCCTCTTCTGTCCTTAATGGTTGAAGTCTTGCAACTTTCTTGAGAGTCCTCAGATTTAGTGGGAGTAATGAAGGAAGAAGAGGGACTTTTTTGAATCTGAGAAACTTGATCATGGGATTGGGAAGTGGGGTATTTGTTCAAGAGGAAGAAGGCGTTGGTGAAGGAGTTTAGAACATTCTTCACAAGGCTTTGGGTTTGGGCAAATGGGGTTGCTGACTCATGATCATGATCATGATCATGATCATGATCATCACAACCATTGATGAAGAGTAGTTTAAGCTGGTTAGCAAACTCACGCCCTCTCACAAGCTCCTCAATTGCTTTACTATGATCCGAAACAACAACATCGTCCATTGTTGTTTCACTTAATTTCACTATGTTTTTCTTTGCCTTATTTTTAAGTTGAAGATAACAACTATCTTATGTTTCTTCTTCTTCTTCTTTGGCTCGGATATTTATTTAGTTTTAGAAGTCACACTTAGCCGCAGTATTTTGAAGACAATAATAAATGAGCAATAATAAATGAGCCACTTGCTATTTTTATACAGTGATCTTACGTACTTTGCAAGGAAAATTCTGCACCTTTGGCATCTTTTGTGAGTGAAATCAACGCGCGTGTATTTCGACGGATTAGGGTTTGCCACGTGTACGAAGATGGGTTGAGTGACGTCACTGTGATGTGTCATCATAGTGGTTTAATTACGTCAGGGTGTGCGGGTGATAATTTAGTGGTGAAAAGATCTGGGTTCATGTGCGGACAAAAATGGGGTAGCTCCTGCTCCAATCTTGAAAGTTTTAAAAGCGAAGTTAATAATTATGTAGGTCATTCTCTAAGGGGAATAGATTAAAGAGATTAAATCAAAGTTAAGATATCTAGGAGTAGAATAGGTGAGATTTGGAGAGGAAAAATACACTTTAATATAAAAAGGAGATTTAAGAGTATAAGCATAAATGGATATTTAGAGAGAAAAGAAAATTTTGACATAAAAAGATAAACTTAAAAAGTAATTATTTTAAGAGTATGCATGACAACTATTATGTTCTCTGGTACTGTTTTTGAAAAGAAACAATTTTTTTCTATTTTTGTGCCTTGGAACAATTTTTGAGAAAAAAACGCGTTTGATAAAATAAGAATTGTGTTTGAAAACACAACAAATAATATAATAAAAATAATTCCTATTAAACATAAAAAAAATTCAGATCATCACTTTTCTTTCTATATGGTGGTGGTGACAGCAGTGGTGACAGCGTGATGGCATGGTAGTGGTGGTGACGGTAGTGGCTGCGGTAGCAATGGTGGTAATGGTGGCGGCATGGTGGTGGTGGTGACAGCAGTGGTGGTAATGGTTGCGACATAGTGGTGGTGGCAGCGGCGGTGGTAGTGGTGACAGCAGTGTCTGCAAAAATTATGACGGTGGTGGTGACAGTGGTGGTGGCGGTGATGGTGGTGGTGGCGGCGTGGTATTAGTGGTGGTGATGGCGGTGTGGTAGAAATGGTGATGGCATGGTGATGGTAGTGGTGGTGGCATCATAGTGATGGTGGTGACAACAGTGGTTGCGGTGGTAGTGGTGATAATGGTGGCGATGATGGTGGCATAGTGGTGGTGACGGTGGCAGTGGTAGTGATGGTGGTGAAAACAGTGGCTGAGACGATGGTGGTGGCGGTGACATGGTGGTGGTGGTGATGACTGTAACACCCCGTGTATACCCGGTTTGTTATCATGTCATCGTATTAAGCAACGCTTAATAAAAATGCGGAATAACTTTTTCTTTTAAATTATGACGTCATTAATATTACCAAGTTGATTACTTAATCCTTTTTCATAAAACATCGTCTGTATGTAAATTGCAATAAAGCTAAATACACTTAATAACCTCAATATATAAAAACTGTGAGTATCTAAGTTTCGGATCTACAATACATAGTCTGAACCATAATCCTGATACAATTATACAACTCAATACTAAAATCAGACATAGCCAATCAATGTGGCATGGACAACCCGCATGCTCACCAAATAAGGCAACAAAGTCCAACAGAGTCTCAACAACAACAACATGAAAATAAATATAAAGCAAGTCAGCATCCAAGCATAATCCAAGTATATCATCAATAACAGTAAATATCTCAACTCAACTCCGGCCTCCTGTCGCCTGAGGTCTCAACCCCTGAGTTACCTGAACCTGCAATATGTGCCCCAAACGTGGAGTGAGATCTCTAAACAGAAATCTCAGTAAGGCAAGGGGTCTTCAAGGATTTCTCCACCCCAAGCTCACTTACATGTGCAATATAAGTTCAAAAGCAGTAATATATTATAAGTTCCAAAATCAGTGCAATGCAGCAGAATAATCATGTCATGTGTGTTAACTATTCTACTGGCCAGAGAAATGCAGGGTTTATATACGTCTATTACCTACAATCAGTGCAAGACACCACTTGCACCCACCCATAGAGTCACCCTATTGTATGTCTCCACATACTCAAGCTTACCATCTGGGTGGCACAACACATGCATATCATAAAGCACTTGCACATAACATCTCAACAACATTTCAAATATCAATACATGAAAACACATCATGCATATAAACCATTCTCTTATGGGGTATGGTGGAACCAACAATGGCTAAACCGAGGACACGAAAGCTTACCTCGCAAGCTAACTATCCAACCAAGCTCAAAGTCCACAAACAGCAGAATCACAATCTGTTTTAGACCAGCAATCAAATCAACAACCATAGTCTACAAACATATGACATAAAGACAGCGCTTTCCCTTTTACGTTTCATGTCTTTAGGCTTCTCACAAAGCCATAAGCCCTTAATCACTTTGATTCTGACTTAGATTAATTATTACAGAGGTTCACTTAACCAATTATGGATCCACAAACCCATGATACAATTCTGTATGCACAGAACCGCTACTGTCTCGAAATTCTCAGAGTATCTGGATATCCATATCCGGATATCACCAGTCTCATATCCGGATATTTCGCGACAGAATGCAGTTTCTACATTTCGCGAAGATATCACTCAAAGGTTCCATTTTTAACACTTTAAAACGTTAAAGAATGCATCTTTAAACCCATTTAGGTCAGTGATCATGTTAGTTACTCATTCAACTCATTAACATGGCAAGACTCAACCTTTAAACAAGAAAAACTCATGATCAAGGTTCAACAACTTACACCAAGCTCCAAAACAGAGATAAATGATGCTCTTGGAGCTCTCAAGTCAGCTCCAAGGTGCTGACTCCAAGGGTACACGAAAATGACACTCAAGCAAGGTCCTTTCTTCACAAAGGTTGCTTCTTGGAGCTTCAACAACCAAATAAAAGACTCCTACACCACTCAACTCAGAAACAGCCCCTTCACAACACACACACAGCACCCACAACTTAGAAGATGACACATTTCTCACTCACCAATGCTCACACCCAAGTGTTTACTTGTTTAGAGATGAAGAAATCAAAGAAAAGATGTGACTTTTAGGGTTTCTCATGCAATGGTGACCAAGGGAGAAGGTGGCAGCAGCTAAGGTTCAGCAACACTCACGTAGAGCACAAAAATTCTGACCTAGGATCATGTGTCAAGCCTTATATAGCCTACTTAAGTTTTAATCGTACTGTATTAGCACTAATAGCTACACTTATCTTTTTAATCCCAAACTTTGCAGGTACGCGCTTTTACATAGCCGGTATCAGTTCTGCCACCAGTTCTCATTATTTTGACTTGAAACTTGTTATACTAGTCCTATATATTATTCTAGTGACATATACATACTTTTAGTAATTTTTCGGGATACTTCATCTGTAAGAACCCGCACCGTTAATTAAGGAATTTAATTAAATATTTAGGTGATTAATGAGATAATTCCATAATTGACCTTAATAATTATGAGAAGGCTTGGATAATTATAGAGAGTAATTAATAATGCTGAAAGTCACTTTTCTGACGAAAAGTGCAGATACCGGTTTTGCTCGCAGTATAAGTGCGTACCGATGAAGTATCCCAAAAAATTATAATAAGTGCTTGAATATTCCTAGAATAATATGTAAGAGTGTGATTTCAAGTTTCAAGTTAAAATAATGAGAACTGGTGCCAGAACTGATATTGGCTATGGAAAAGCGCGTACTGGAAAGGTGCTGCGAAAAATAATATAAAAATATGATAAATTCTAGAAAATTGAGTAGGTTCAGAATCTAGAGTTTGAGATTAAAATGCTAAGCGTAGCTATTATTAGTAATACAGTGTGTTTAACTTAATGGACCTATAAATAAGTATTGGGCCCAAAACCCTAGGTCATATTTTGTGCCTACGAGAGTGTTGGTGGCTGACTCTCTTCAGCCATTTCTCTTCTTCCTCACCAAGCCATTGCCTTCCCTCCATTGAGACTACTCAAGACTTGACTTTTAGGAGAGATTCTTCACCTCTAAGCCTTTAGTCACTTGGGGACAACATTGGGGGTGTGAAAAGGACCTTGTTCTGAGAAGGAAAGCTGCTGTTTGGTGGAGGTTTTTGCTGAGTTTGAGTGTTTGGTTGGGTGAGGCCTTTGTCATGGTATTTTGAGCTCCAAGTTGTGAGCTTTGTGGAGATAAACATCATCTTGTGGTGTCAAATTCGTGGGCCTTGGTAGTCAGTACTGTGGGACTGTGTTGGAAGCTCAAAGGAGGAGTCGTTTTCTGTGTTTGGAGCATTTAAGGTGAGCCATGACCACCTCTTTGTCATTTTGAGGTTTTAAGCTTGTTTAATCTATTAAAAAGAGAAACTTTAACCATTTAAGTAAAGGAATGTGTTTCTGAGTTCTTAACATGCTTATGAATATCTGTTTAGGGAGTCATTGGACTCCCAATCGCTTTTGGACCCTTAAAATGGGATTATGCAGAAGAATGCTCGAGTTTCTGCATTCTGTCTGATAAGTATTCGAATACTTTTCGTGTAGTATTCGAATACTTATCCCTTGGTAGTCGAATACTCCTTGCAGGAGTATTGGGATACTTTTCTGGAAAGAAAAGTATTCGGATACCTTTGAAGAAGTATTCGAATACTGAAGAGTATTCGAATACAGTGAGTTTTGGTATTCGGATACTGTGGTATTCGGATACTTGGAGTGTTGGTATTCGAATACTTTAGTGAAAGTAATCAAATACTTTCTGGAGAGCTGGAGTATTCGAATACTACTCGGGGAGTATTCGAATACCTCCTGCAGAAACAACATGTAATGACTTAAAATGAGATGAAAAGCCTTAATCACTTAATGTAACCTTGGTAAATGGTTATTGATGATTATTACTGTATAAACAGATTGTGATTATGCTGCTTGTGGGCTTTGAGCTAGTGTGGACTCTTGGCTTG